CTCAAGGGGAATGCTTTCAAAGTCTCTCCATTTAGGATGATGTTGGCTGTTGGCTTGGTATAAATGCCATTAATTTTATTGAGGAATTTCCCTTCTATTCCTATGTTGTTGAGAGTTTTTATCATGAATGGATGTTGGACTTTGTCGATTGCTTTTTCTGCATCGATTGATAAGATCATGTGGTTCTTGTCTTTTGTTTTATTTATATGATGGACTACATTGATTGTTTTCTAATGTTGAACCATCCCTGCTTACCTGGTATAAATCCCACTTGGTCATGGTGAATTATTTTTTTGATATGTTGCTGAATTCTATTGGCTAGCATTTTATTGAGGATTTTTGCATCAATGTTCGTGAGAGATGTTGGTCTGTAATTTTCTTTTTTTGTGGTGTCTTTACCTGGTTTTGGTATCAGGGTTATGCTTGCTTCATAGTATTCCATCCTTTTCTATGCTCTGAAATACCTTTAGTAGAAGTGGTGTTATCTCTTCTCTGAAATTTTGGTAGAATTCTCCAGTGAAGCCATCCGGACCAGGGTTTTTTGTTGGGAGTTTTTTATTAACCTTTTCAATCCTTTGTTATGGGTTTATTTAGTTGTTCTACCTCTGTTTGTGTTAATTTAGGTAGATAGTGAATTTCTAGAAATTTGCCCATTTCCTCTAGGTTTTCAAATTTGTTTGAGTATAATTTTTCATAGTATTCTGTTATGATTCTTTAATTTCAGTTGGGTCTGTTGTGGTATCACCCGTCTCATTTCTTATACAGGTTATCTGCTTCCTCTCCTGTTTTTCTTTAGTCAGTTTGGCCAATGGTTTATCAATTTTGATGATCTTTTGAAAGAACCAGCTTTTGGACTTGTTAACTCTTTCAATTGTTTTTCTATTCTCTATTTCATTTAATTATGCTCTAATTCTTATTATTTCCTTCCTTCTGGCACCTGAGAGCTTCTTTTGCTGCTCTCTTACTGCTTGTTCCAGTTGTAGGGTTAATATTTTGATTATGACTCTTTGTTCTTTTTGGATATGTGCATTTATTGGTATAAGCTGACCTCTGAGCACTGCTTTTGCTATGTCCCAAAGTTATGATAAGATGTGTTTTCATTCTCGTTTGATTCCATGAATTTCTTTATTCCATCCTTAGTTTTTTCTATAACCCGGTAGTTTTTGAGCAAGGTGTTGTTCAGTTTCCATGTGTTTGATTTTTTTTTCCTTGCTTTTTGTGTTGTTGATTTCTACTTTTATGGCTTTACAGTCAGAAAAGATGCTTGGTAATATATCAATGCTTTGGATTTTGTTAAGGCTTGCTTCATGGCTAATATGTGGTCTATTCTGGAGACTGTTCCATGAGCGTTGGAAAAGAAAGTATACTTGGCTGCTGTTGGGTACAGTGTTCAGTATATGTCTGTGAGATCAAGTTGGTTGATGGTAGCATTTAGCTCTTCCGTATCTTTGTTGAGCTTCTTTCTGGGTGATCTGTCCTTAACTGAGAGTGGTGTGTTGAAGTCTCCTACTACCATTGTGGAGCTGTCTCTCTTTTCAGTGCTGTTAGAGTTTGTTTTATGTATTTTGGAGACCTGTCGTTGGGTGTGTAAATATTTATTGTAGTTATGTCTTCCTGGTGTATTGACCCTTTAATCATTATGTAATGCCCATCCTTATCCTTTGTGGTGGATTTTAAAGTCTATTTTGTCAGAGATTAATATTGCCACTCCTGTTCTTTTTTGAGTGTTGTTTGCTTGATACATTTTTTTTTCCATCCTTTGAGTTTTAGCCTGTTTGTGTCTTTAAGTCTAAGATGCATCTCTTGTAGGCAGCATATAGATGGATCATGCTCTTTTATCCAATCTGCCACTCTCTGTCTCTTTATTGGTGCATTTAGTCCATTTACATTCAGCGTAATTATTGATAGGTATGAGTTTAGTGCTGTCATCCTGATGTCTTCTTGTGTGTTGTTCACAGTTTTCTTTATGCCTCTTAATTTTCTGTGCTGAGTCGTTTTTATGTATTTTTTTCATCTTTTTTATTATTGTTGATTTTGTGTTTCCTGAGTCCTTATTTTTCTAGTTTATTTTGATTTGTAGGATTGTTAGCTTCCTTTGTGGTTGCCTTAATGTTTACCCCTATTTTTCTAAGTTTATACCAGTCTTTTATTTCTTTATATTGCCTTGACTTCTCCATATGAAAAATCTATGTCTGCAATTTTTAAGTCTATCTTTTTTGTTTTAATGTCCTTTTTTTACATATTGATATCTCTGTTTCCCTATTTTCAGTGTTTTAGCTTTGATGTATTTTTGACTTCCCTATCTGAGTCCATATCTCGTTGCTCTGTCCTGTGTTCTAGTCTTGCATTATTATCTGATGTTATTGATTTTCTAACTGGAGGACTCCCTTTAGTATTTCTTGTAATTTGTTCTGGTTTTTGCAAATTCCCTAAACTTCTATTTCTCTGGAAATGCCCTAATTTTGCCATCATATTTGAGAGACAGTTCTGCTGGATATACAATTCTTGGCTGGCAGTTGTTTTCCTTCAGGGCTTTATATATGTCATGCCATTGCCTTCTTGCCTGCATGGTTTCTGCTGACTAGTCCGAGCTTATTCTAATTGACTCTCCTTTGTAGATGTCTTTTCTTTTATCCCTAGCTGCTCTTAAAATTCTGTCTTTATCTTTGGTTTTGGCAAGTTTGATTATACTATGTCTTGGTGACTTTCTTTTGGGAGCTACCTTATGTGAGGTTCGATAAGCATCTTGGATAGATATCTTCTCCTCTTTCATGATATCAGGGAAGTTTTCTGTCAACAAGTCAACAATTTTCTCTGTATTTTCTGTCATCTCCCCTGGTGGAACAGAATTCTAACTCACCAAAAAAAAAAAAAAGACCAGACTTACTGGTCTGCCAGAGAGTGGAGAAATCCTGAGCATATGGCCCCCAGACACCAATTTATCTCAGTAATGAAATCACTCCTGAGGTTCACCCTTCAGCCAAAGATTAGACAGGTGCATAAAACAAAATGAGACTAAATGGGCACACCAGCCCAGGGGCAAGGATGAGAAGGCAGGAGGAGATAGGAAAGCTGGTGATAGGGAACCCAGGGTCGAGAAGGTGAGAGTGTTGACATGTCGTGGGGTTAGCAACCAGTGTCACAAAACAATATGTGTACTAACTGTTTAATGAGAAGCTAGTTTGTTCTGTAAACCTTAATCTAAAGCACAATAAAAAAAAGTGTGTTTGTGTGTATGTATGTATATAATTTGAATAGTATTTACTTTTTGAAATTGGTTAACATTTTTCTCTCTTTTTTTCAACTTTATTTTTGGTGAAAATATACACAGCAAAACCTGCTCCCATTCTGTAGTTTCTAGACATAACATTTAGCGACATTGGTTAAATTCTTCACATTGTGTCAACATTCTCCTTATTTCTGTTCTAGTTATTTCACTTCCATTTACTTAATCTCCCTGCTTCCCAGCCTGCTCATCTGTGCTTTAAATTAGCTGATGACCCTTTGGTCTTACGTAGATCTTTTTTTTTAAGAAACCCAACACTTAAGAGTGACAATCTTTACTCTTTGGGTTAAACTGTTACTTAGTTTAAAGGTGACTCTAAGGGATAGTTTTAATTCAGTGTTTGAAGAGCAACTCAGGGCCATAGACTTGGGGACTCTGCCAGACTTAATAGGTCCAATAATCTGGATTTTTTTTTAAGAATTTGAAGTTCTGTTACACATTTTTCTCCCTTTTTATCAGGGTTTCTCTATTATGTTCCTGATAGGGTATTCCATAGTGGTAGCTGGACACCATAAAGTTCTTCACGTCTCAAGGTGGAGGAAGCAGTGGATCATGTAGACAGTCTTGTAGAATAGGTTTCCATTCTTAACAAAAATATAATTAACCTAAAAATCTCACCACATCATAGTAATGGCTCCAAGAAGTTACTTAACTTACCCAGGTTTACCTAGTTAGAAGTTGGCAGAGAAGTTAGTTAATTTACCCAAGATTACATCATTAGAAGTTGGCAGAACTTGGAATTTAAGGCCGGCACTTTCTGATTCCATGTCCCATGCTGATTCCACCCTGCCATGGTGGAAATCCGGTCGGGAATTCTGCCATTCCTGCCGTGTGTTGATAGTTACATGTGTATCATGCTTAATAGCTTATACAGTATTCTTTTTCCTTTTTTTTTTTACTCCCCATCCCAACCTCCCCCCAAGTCCCTGGTAACTACTAGTCTTTTGTCATGATGGATTTGCCTATTCTAGATACTTTATTTAAATGGGATCATACAATATGCGTCCTCTTGTGTCTGACTTATTTCACTCAGCATTATGTTTTCAACGTTCATCCATTTTGTAGCAGGTATCAGAACCTCCTTTCTCTTCAGGGCTGAATAATATTCCAGTGTGTGTATTTTGTTTATCCATTCTCCTGTTGATGGGCACTTGAGTTGTTTCCATCTTTAGGCTATAGTGAATAATGCAGCAGTAAACAGTGGTGTACATGTGTTTGTTTGAGTTACTGGCTCCAATTATATAGTATTCTTTTTACATAATTAAGCTTAATTTGCTTAGCTATTCATCTAAGTTTTTAAATCTTTTCAGTTTTTAAGGAAAAAAGTTTTCTTTTAATTTTATATCAATTTAAAGAGCTGTAATTTTAATTTTCTTTTTTGTTTTCTTTCCCAGTGACAGAATTTGGCCAACTAAACTATCTATTTAGTACATATGACTAGGGAAGGAGGACCAGTCCAAAATTCAAGGCAGAGATCTTCCTAGAGGCAATGAGAACTTAGTTCCATTGGTGTTCTTAATTAATAGATAAACTTTAGAAGTCAGTTTTCTGTCTAGACTCATTCATCATTACTAAGAAAACACTTTCATAACTCTTCCCAAATCTTTGCAGGAATGCAGCCTATTCAGGGTACAGAAATCTGAGCTCTTTTAAAAGCTTTCTAATTCCCTTTTCTTTTTTGCTTTAGCTGTTTCATTATGTGTTTGCACGTTAGATAAAAGAAATCAGCTGGACAGATGTTGGAGGTTGGACCGGCCAAGGAGGATCGATTCTTGGAACAAAACGGTAATTTCCAGACATTGACTCTCTGAACTAATCTTAAGGAAGCAGAAGATGCCATACTGTGTAAGTCAGTAGCTGGACATGAATTCTGATTCTTTTGATTTCCTGTAAATAAATTCCTAAAGGAAGTGACACTGGATCAGTTACCTGTCCTCACCCCAGAAAGGACCCAGGCAATGCTTTAAGGAGTTGAGACTGAGCCATGCCATTGAAAGACATGCTGGTGATGAGCACAAGGCCTTGAAAAGAGATAAGGCAGATAATGTGGAAATATTTTCTCCAATAATCCTTTATTTCCATTTATTTGAAGAGCAAAATGGTGAGAAAAAAATTAATCCAATTCTAGGTAATATAAATAAATGGTATTATTGAGCTGTAGTTATCATTCTATTTAAAAATGAGTTCAGACATCATCCATATTTGGTTAGTATTGTTAGGAACAACAGAACTGAGTAGCACTGTTACTTGAGGCTCAGATTTCCATAGCCAAACAAACTACCTGGGTAATTCCAGCAAAAAGCATGTTTTTCTGACTTACGGTAAGCGTTTTGTTTTCTGGTATAGCCAGGGGTAGGATATTTTAACAAGAAACCAAACCTGTTGTCATCGAGTTGATTCCGACTCATAGCGACCCTATAGGACAGAGTAGAACTGCTCCACGGAGTTTCCAAGGAGCATCTGGTAGATTCAAACTGCCAACCTTTTGGTTAGCAGCTGAGCTCTTAACTACTGCACCACCAGGGCTCCAGTTTTAACATGTTTAATATTAAATTGAATTTGAGTCTTTTAAAAAATATTTTAGTATCTCGGGGATAAAAGTATTAACATCAGTCATTATTATATATCACATTTTAATATGAAAGGAAATCATTTTTTGTGTAAATCCTAATAAATGTTTGATTTCATATAAATGATAAATTCTTGTAGCAAGGAAGTTGTCCCATCCCTTTGTTCTGCTTTGGGCTCAGGGCTACAGATATTTCCAACTGCTGACAGGAGTTCTGAAGAGTTCTGTGGGGTTCTCCAGAGCCATTTGCTGTCCAGTCTTAGCCAGAGTCCACATTATTGGTGTCCTGGACTGCAAAGCTATACCTAAAAGTAAACTTGTCTGTTCAGTGTGTTTCCTGGGCCTTCTCAGACTGACTACAATTCCCTAGTAGTCTTTGCTATAGAAGGTGACTGGGGGCATTGCTCTTGAGTTAGCTAGAGACGATTAGGATGGCAGCTTTGGCAACATTCTGAAGTAGCTTAAGAAACTCCACCTTGGAAGACTGTGAGGGATTTTGTAGCTAGCTCTCATGTTCACTTGTTTTCTGTGATTTGCCAGGCCTGGATTTTCTTGTCCTACAGTTGCTTATAAAGCTAATAAAACTACACTTTATTTCCTTCCATAAGCATAAAAGAAAGATTGAGGGGAGGAGGTGTTGGATGGGGAGTTGGGATGGGATATAGCCAAGTATCATTGGTTCAGTAATCTACTTGTTAACCACATCATCTGAAACAGGTGCTAAAATGGGAGAAGAATAGCTAGTGGATGTGATTTAAAATGAGACCAGATTGGATGATGTATACATAAGATATTTGAAAACTGTACATTTCCATGTAAACAGTTGTTTTTATTAAAAAAATTGCAAGCTGTTTTGTTTTTTTTTTTTCTAATGAGGCAGTAGAAATCTCTTTAGGTCATTTTCCTGTTGTTATTATTATTGTTGTGTGCCATCGAGTTGATTCTGACTCGTAGTGACCCTACAGGACAGAGTAGAACTGCCCCAAACTCCTAGACAGCTGAAAAGTTTTTTCTAGCTTTCTTTTGATAATACACTCTTTTGGAGTTTGATTTCTGGCCATGGCTGCCTTGTATAACCATTTCCTGACATGTTGCTGCTCATGCTGCTCTCCGCCAAACTCTATGGAATGACGAAGGCAGGTAAATCCCTCTGCTCCTGAATGCAACATGTAGCTTGGTCACCAAGGTCGGAGAAGAGGCCTGAGGGAGTAATGTAGCATCCGTTAGGTTTGTTCACACGATGTCTATCATCAGAATTGTGAAGCTTGTCATCACCTGACCTCACCTCTTGATTTAACTGTTTTTAGTATTCTACCTGGAAAGTATTTGGAGGAGATTGCTGAACAGATGCGTGCTCACAGTATCAACGCTCTATTGATTATTGGTGGATTTGAGGTACATTATTGTTTCTCTGTTAACCTGCTAGTTAGTCAGCTTTGTAGGGATAAATAGTAACCCTGTATGGGCTTCAAACATGCGTAGCTTGCTACTCTTCATGATTTGGGATTGTAGATTTCCAGGCCCAGTTGCCACTGAATAATTAGAAGTGCAGAAGAATAACAGAGTAGCAAGATGGGATATGAGATTTATCCAGTCCCAATAAAGCACCTTAATCTAGAAGTAAAAACTTGATTCCTTAACTCTGATTCATCTGTTTAGTGAGCTCTGATGTATTTCAAGTCTACAGAAATAATTTTATCTCTTGGATTTGAAGTCCATTGGCTATTTCAAGAGAAAGGTATTGCAAGATGTTTTGAATCACATATTGAACTGTAGTTCTTGACTTTTTCTGTTTGCTGATGATCAGTCCTATGATAAACCTTAGATTTACTTTAAAGAAAATGTGAGAACCTCAAATAATTGGAATCTTACCAATAAGGGATTTAGTCTTGCTTATAAACAATAATGTCCTGTATTATCCTTTGTGCTTAGAAAATTGCTTATCCTTGTCTTTGGTCTTAATGCTTTTTTATGTTGATTTTTTAGTGGTTCCGTGGTATCCCCACATGTGCCTTGTGTGCTGTGGTGGAAGTGGCTCTCCCATGCCATTTCAATTCCAGTGATGTCCCTTTGTTCCCCTTCCTCTCCTTCCTTGCCCCCACAATTGCACACACTTGTCTGACAGGCCTACCTGGGACTGCTAGAGCTGTCAGCTGCCCGGGAGAAACACGAGGAGTTCTGTGTTCCTATGATTATGGTTCCTGCTACTGTCTCCAACAATGTCCCTGGTTCAGATTTCAGCATTGGTGCAGACACTGCTCTGAACACTATCACTGACGTAAGTCTGTGTGTGCCTGCAAAGCAAACCCCAGCTGTGTAACACTGAGGATGACTGAGCCGCTCTTTTATTCACCAGTGTACTAGAAATCCGCTTTGCGGGATGGGACACAAGTACTCTGAAGGAGATTTTTTTTTTTCTCCCAAGAAAAATAAAAAAATGCTCTTCAGGCTCTGAAAATCTTTCTTCTAGTTCCCCAAAGTTTTACATCTCTGTCCCTATGTGGTTGTTAGGATGATGTTTCACTGTTAAGATTCATTAAGTGACAGTGAGGATTTGGAGCTCAAGAAATAATAGGATTACAGTTTTTTGTGATTTGGATAGTCATTAAAATTAGTTCTTTGTTTTGTTTTGTTTGTTTTGCTGAGCTGAAATATAAGTCTATAACATCTTGCAAATTCTGGTCCAAGGACTTGCCTTAATGTGTAAGGCTGAAGAGAGTATTTTATAATTTAATTTATTGGCCTCAATCCACCATTTGCATTCTTTATACTTTCCGTTGCGGCCACATTAACATCATTTTCCCCTGTGCAAATTGGGGATATTACATCTGAAACAATGTTGATGCCGTTTTAGATTTTTTGCTGAAAGGCAATAATAAAAAGAAATGCATTCTTAGTATCTTATTATCCTGTTTGTAAATCACATTTGGTAATGTACATGGGAATTTAAAGATCAGTATCTAACAGTGCATTTCTTTTTTTTTTAATTCAAGGTCTGAAATTTTTCAGTAATTCTCAAGTTTTTATTTTCCTTGTCAGACCTATTTCTTAAGAACATTTTTCTAAAATTTTTTCTTAAACCCTTGACATCAAATTTATTTCTAGTACTGGTGAATAAAACATAATAAAGCTTTTAAAATAAGATTCAAACGGTAATGCTTAGCACTTGTGTCTTGCTTTTCTGAACTTTCTAAACTTTGTACGATTTCTTTACTAAATAAACCTGCTCACTGTTTCATCTTGAGTGGCCCTGGAAGCTGTATCTATTTGCAATCACTAACCTCCTACTCGGAGTCCTGGTGGCGAAGTAGTTCAGAGCTCGGCTGCTAACCAAAAGGTCGGCAGTTCGAATATACCAGCCGCTCCTTGGAAACCGTATGGGGCAGTTCTACTCTGTTCTATAGGGTTGCTATGAGTCAGGATCGACTCGACAGCAGCAGGTTTTAACCTTTTACTTAGCAGTTGCTTGTGCTTTTCCATGACTGATACTACCGCCATTCGCTGCGTTCAGACTATTTCAGGCTCTTGATCTGTCTTCACATTGTAAATTTAAAAATCACTCTCTATCACCAAATGAAGTCCATCCTTTTTTTTTGAATGTTTGTCTTAACTGCTTTAGCTGTATTTTGAATCAGCTTAAGCTGAGCTGGCCATACAAGCAATTGGAATATTTGTTTTTCCTAATTGTCTAATTAGAACCGATTGATGGGGCATGGGTGGTAGGGAGATGGGTGGAGAATTTGAAGTTGTTCATTTGCAGTTAATGGGAGCTTTTGCAGATACAGGCAAAGGTTGGTGTTTATTTATCTCCTTGTGATATTGTGATGTGTACTTTCAGTCATGAAGAAAAGACTCACCCGCTTTATAAATTCCAGGCAGCTCTGCTTTTATAAAGATTTTTTTTTCTTTTCCAGATTATGATTATATAATACATGTATATTATAGAAAATTTGAAAACTAAAATATATAGGAAAAAACAATTATACTTAGTTATAATTGAGTCTATGAGTTGGAATCAACTTGTTGCTGTTGAGTCGATCAAGACTCATAGTGACCCTGTAGGACAGAGTAGAACTGCCCTATAGGGTTTCCAAGGCTGCAGTCTTTACTGAAGCAGACTGCCACATCCTTCTTCTGTGGAGCAGCTGGGTTCAAACTGCTGACTTTTTGGTTAGCATCGCTTTTACTTCTCTTACAGAGGGGTTTTGTGGTTTATTATGTGATTTTTACAAATCCTTTTTTTTTTTTTTTTTTGGTAGTACTTTGAGTTTCTCATAGCTAAGTTAACCCATTATAATGTCTGAGAAGAAAAAAGAACAAGTAAGTAGTTTATCATTCACGGTGGCTTCAGGTGCATATCGTACAGGGTAAGTAGTTAGCGTATATGTTCTTAACTACCATATTTCTAAGGAGCTAAGGAATTAGGTTGTCTTGACGGCATAGTTCTGATCTTGATATTAGAATGTCATAAAAGGCCCTTTTTGGAAACCATGCCGGTGAGGATAATTTAACTCAATATTCTGGTGGCCACCACTGCGTACATTCAGTAACCAGGTAAGGAACAAGAAAACAGATAAGAGTCTTTGTGTATCTTGAAGGTATAGGAATGAAAATATCGACATGATGTGTAGAAAGTGCAGTTTCTTCCCTTGTTATATTCATGAAAGCCAGGAGGAAGTTGAGTCCTCCGTAGGAGATTTGGATTTGGGTCTGAACTAGCTAGGCTGGCCGTGGGGGAAAGGGAGCAGTGTCACCTCCAGGAGTGTTCTGTGAGAGGGGACACTGAGGAATGTGAAAGTGACACCCCAGCTTCTAGGCATGTGGGAGCAAGATTGTTCATGGCCCCTTCTGATATTGTCAGTGGATCAGAAAAGCCTCTTGAGGGACTGCAGACAAGCAGTGAGGTTAACATCAGATCTTCCTTCATCAGGAGCTTAAAACAGGTGTCCCAAACAAGTTAACCTGCAGGCCTTCGGCCAAAGGCCGCTCCTTACAATCTTATTTCTGGGATCTCTATTTATGGACCTGCTTGGCCCCTGAAGGCATTCAGGTTTACAGTCCTTGCACATTTCCCAGTTTATTTTCTAGGATCCACTGGTTCCTTTTGTTCAGATAGTTCTGCGGTTCTCAGCTGCCCCCAGGGGACATTTGTCAATATCTAGAGACACTTTTGGTTGTTACAACAGGAGGGCGGTGCTACTGGCATCTAGTGAGTAGAGGCCAGGGAGCTTCTAACCACCCTACAATGCATAGGACCCGTTAACCCGTTGCTGTTGAGTCAGTTCCAACCCATAGCTACCCTGTAGGACAGAGTAGAACTGCCCCACAGGGTTTCCAAGGCTGTAAATCTTTACAGAAGCAGACAGCCACGTCTTTCTCCCACGGATAAGTGGACCTGCATTGTGCATCTATTTTGGTTAACGCTCTGATGCACATAATCGAAACCTCCTTCCAAGTACTAAGGAAGAGCTCCCCCTTCTGACGTCAGTACCAAACTATTCCACACTGGAATTCCAAAGCAATTAATTGGATTCTTGCTGATCGATCCTGATTTATGTAAGAATTGCAAAGGGACATGAAAAGGAAACTCCTTAAAGAAGGGAAGCGGTTTCACATAAAAGAGAGCAATATTGTTCAAGAGGTCCCACAGAGATGCAGCTTATGCGGAACGGGTCCCTCATGAACAGGCCTCCTGGTAACGGCATGTCTCGGGTCCCGTCTGTCTTACAGCGGCCACGTGGTGGGCTTGGTGTGTATGCATGCCCGTATGCAGCAGTCTCCCTGCGGCATCCATGAGGTGGGCCATTCGATGTCGCGTTTACAGGCGTTTGCCTTGTGACCCCCGCTTACCTACCGAAAGTTGCAAGATTGGCATTGCCTTTAAACTTTGTAACCTAACTGGCTTTTCCCACATACTCTAAGATGCTAAGAAATGACCTTAGCAGTTTCATTGAGTGACTTACCACACTGATGCCACCTGTTTCCTTCTTTGCCTGCCGCCTGCTTTGCTGCCTGTGTGCTTTGCATTTCGATTTCCCTCCACTGCCTGTTAACCGTCTCGTAGTCAGGAGAGGAGCTTGTGCCAGTGTGGCTCCAGTGCCTTGTTGAAGCTTTCCCTGCTCCCTGTACCTGAATGCTAATCGGAAATTTCCTTTTGCTATGTTGACTTGCATGAAACACAGAGCTTGCCACTAAAGGGTCACTTACTTGCTCTGACATTCCCGGAGCCACAGCCCAGATGCCTAGTTACTAATAAGTGAAGTGCCAGGTATGCTTTGTTCATGACAGTTGTACTGCTGCTTCAGGTGTGTGAGGATGCTCAGAAGATAGCTGAGGCCAGACACAGCCATGAGCAGTTTTGCATCCCTATTTGCATACTGGCTGCTACTATTAGCAACAGTGTCGCAGGCACAGAGCTAAGTATTCGTGCTGATGTTGTTATCAGGAGGATCAGTCCCTGGAGAAGGACATCATGCTTGGTAAAGTAGAGGGCCAGCGAAAAATAGGAAGACCCTCAACAAGATGGATTGACACAGTGGCCGCAACAGTGGGCTCAAGTATAACAATGATTGTGAGGATGGTGCAGGACTGGGCAGTGTTTTGTTCTGTTGTACATGGGGTCGCTATGAGTCGGAATCGACTCAGTGGCACCTAACAACAACAACATGCTGATAAGGGCGTGAGCTTTGCTGAGTTCCCAGCTAATGGTGTGTGGTGTTGTTTCTGCTGTAAATCTTTATGGAAGCAGACTGCCACCTCTTTCTCCTGTGGAGCAGCTAGTGGGTTTGAACTACCAACCTTTCTATTAGCAGCCGAGCTCTTTAACCACTGCAGCACCAGGGCTCAGTAACTCACAGTCATGTGAAATTAAGGTATAGCTTGCTAATGAAGCAAGATTGTCTGTTCTCACATTAAATCCCACTGGCTTTTTTCTGTCTTAACACTGTAGTCAACTCTACCTCTTGTTTTCACTTTTGACTTATATATATATATTAAAAACAGTGTAGCAAAATTTAGCAGTATTTGAAATGTAACTGGAAGTTGTTCCTCAAGTGCAATCAGTCCCAGAGCTGCTTCTCTGAGAATCATCTGTATGCCACTGGAGGACATTACCTTCTGATAGGGACATCTGCCATAAAGAAAATGGAAGTGAGAGCAGCTTGGCTTTTCCTGGGGTAGATTATCCAATAGGCAAGGTAAGCACCATGTTTACCTTGCTTACCAGATCATCTGTAGTGAACAGTTTCCCTTTTTTTAACCATATCAAAGATTCTGCAGCTAGGTATGGCTAGCTAGCATCTCTCTCCCAACTCCACAGCGGCTTCCTACAGAATCAAAGCCTCTTTTAAAATTACATTCCCTGATGGGGCAGATGACATGGTAAGTACAGGCTTACTTGTGCTTACTTACTAATCTGTAGTGAATAGTTTCACTACAGATGACCCGATCAGCAAGGTAGGCACTGTGCTTACCTTACCTGTTGGATAATCCAACCTTGGTTTTGCCTAAATAGTTCAGCTCATGGCTGCAATCCCCATGATGGGCGTGGAGTATCAGCCTTTCTGCGGTGTTTGTCCTTCCACTCTGTTAGTGCTCCCACCTCCTTCCACCCCCAGAGTTAGAGAACCTCCTGCATGTGCCACCAGCATGGGACAGGGTTGCGTTTGGTGCTGTAGCCTTTTATGTATTAGCACTACATTTAGTAATTAAATGAGACATTTTATACGGCTCAGATCACACTCATTGTTTTTTAGAAGAAACTGATTCAGATACAATCTAGGTAATGAGAAGAGATTATTTAGGAAAGGTATATTTAAGTTTTAAGCAAGGTTAATTGTTCCACTCCAGCTATAAATGTCGTTATATTCAGTAGCATACCAAAAAAAAAAAAAAAAAGAGAGAGAGATTAAAAATGGAAAGACTAAATGTGTGGCCTTTGCTCAGTTGTCAGGTTTACTCAGGTTTTTTCTTTTCTTTATCTTTTCCATTAACTGGCTGTTTGGATCAATATTTAGATATATATACATACATGCTAACTTGCCTTACACTATAGCTTCTTTGCCAGTAATACGATGTTGCCATTAAGTGATTCTAATTTTGTTCTTTGAATCAGTGATAGTAATTCTCCACCTTAGAGTGGGCATGTTGAGGATAGTACGTGGGAAGAATGACCTATGCAACTTTACACCTCTCCAGGAGAGTGTACCCAGTGCTAACATCCCCACCATTTGCCTTCCAGTGTGGTTGTACACATCAGGCACTTGTGCATCAGGCTTGTACAGAACCTGCTGTACAATCATACTTCGTTTCTGACCTTTCTCTAAAACAAAGACCATGTAATGAGTTTTTGAATATTTGCATGCCATATAAAAATATTTAATATAATTATGAAAAACACTCAGTTCTGTATCCCAACCTTATAGGAGTAATGGGTTCTCTAAATACTTCTTTAGTTTTCATTCCCCATCTCTGCGTAAACACAGAGAAAAACAGAACTTGTATCAGTGCCCATTTCTTTTTCCCATTTCAGCTTCTAGAGAATGCACAGCTGCCCACCAACTGAAGTACATACTGACTTTCTAATAAATCAATCTATTTTGGAAGGGTAAGAATCCAAGAAACTGGATTATAGATAGGACTCATTTTAATTGAACCTGTGTTTGTTAAGATTCTCTTTTAAATTTAACTCCCAGTACTCTTATAAACATTTTTTTCATGGGTGTTACCATGCTTTGCTGCACAACCCTTTCTCTTTTTCCTCCAAAGGTTGCTAACCTCTAGTCTCTCAAACCCCTGCCCCTTGCCACCCCCGTTTGTGATTTCACTCTATGCTCAATACTACACAGACTAGTTTAGGGCATCCTGTAGGAGTTTGGCCCTTAACTGATTGAGGGGTTAGGGAATAGGGATGGCACTTGCATTTACTGCATTTATTTGGCAAACATTTATTGTGTCCCTTCTGCGCTCCAGCCCTGGTGGCACGGTGGTTAAGAGCTCAGCTGCTAACCAAAAAGTCAGCAGTTTGAATCTACCAGGAGCTCCTTGGAAACCCGATGGGACAGTTCTACTCTGTCCTATAGGGTCATTTTGAGTTGGAATTGACTCGACAGCGTGGATTTAGACTGTGCTCCAGGCAGGAGCTAGGTGCTGGTGGTACTGCAGTGGCCTAAGCCAGGCCTCCGATTCCTGTCCCTGTGGATTTGCACGCTGGTGAGGAAGATACACTCAAACCAGATAACCAGATAATCACACAGATGATTGTAGAAAGAGAAGCTGCAGTAATTTCTATAAAGAAAAGACAAGGTATTGTGAGAGCACGTAAGAGGGGGATCTGTTTAGTCCTAGAGATCAGGTAAAGGTTCCCTGAGAAAATGACATTGAACTCTGAGTCAGAGATAATTAGGCACAAAGGTGCCTGTATTAGCTTCCGATTGCTGCTCTAACAAATTAGCACAAGCTTGGTGCTTTAAAACACTGTTCACTTCTCTCAGTGTTCTGGAGGTTAGACATGTGAGATTGGTTTCAGTGTTCTGAAATCAAGGTGTCTCTTTGGATGCTCTAGGGGACAGTCAGTTTCACTCAGGGTCTCAAACTGGTTTGTTCTGGTTTGACTCCCTGCTGAGAATTTGCGTTTCCACACCAGATATACTGAATCGGAATCTACGTTTTAACAAGATCCTCAGGTGATTCTTATGTATAATAAATTTTGAGAGCCACTGTTCTACTAGTGGTTCTCAAAATTGGTCCCTAACCATGCATGGCCTGGGAACTTCTTAGAAATGCAAATTCTCCATAGGGCTTCCAACCAGAAGAAACAGGTCAAGCCTGCTTTCCTTGTCTTTCCCAGGGTCTCCAGCTGCATTTCATGCATTCCTTGGCTCCTGGCCCCTTTCTCCATCTCCAAAGCCAGCAGCATAGCATGTTGCTTCAGTGTCGCCTTGCTTCCTGCCTCTGCCTCCCTTGTATAAGGAGGACACCTGTGATGGCATTTAGGGCCCACTCGGATAATCCCAGATAACCCTCCCCATCCCAGGATCCTTAAATTACTCACACCTGCAAAATCTCTTTTCCCATATAAGGTACCATTCACAGGTTACAAGGATTAGGACCTGGACATCTTTGGGGGCCATTATTCAGCCACCCCAGGGCTTAAAGAAAATTCCAAGCCAAGGAAACAGTATGTTTGAAGACCCCGAGGAGGAATAGGTTATGGCTTGTTCCGGAAACTGAACACTGGTGCAGAGGGAAGGTAGTTGGAGCTGCTTTTGAGGCAGAGGAGGGATGATGCAGGGCCAGGTGTTCCATATAAAGGGTTTTGACGTTCACCTGAAGAAGATTAAGAAGTTACTGAAGGGTTTTGAGCAAGGCAGTGACTCTGTAAGAGCTGTGTTTTTCACAGATGAATCTCAGCTTGTGTGGAGAACAGATCCGAGGGGCCGAAGATTGCTGCTGAGAGCCGGTTAGAGGCTTTGCAGCAGTCCTGAGAGCGGTCATGAGTGGCCACTTGGACTAGTGTAGAGGAGTGGAAATGTAGTGGGTGGATTTTTCTAGTTTTTACTTACTTTGTTCCTGAGCTCAGGCCCTCAAAGAGTGGTAATGGCAGATTAACCAGTAAGCAAGGTACTCATGGGCTTTCAGTAAGAGGTACACACGGGTTTAGTTATGTGTACTTAAAACATTTGTAGTACACAATTTGGTGAACCCATGTGAAATTTTGCACTACAGATTAGCAAGTAAGCACAAGTAAGCCCGTGCGCACCTTGCTTATTGGGTAATCTGTCCCTGGATGATGGCAAGACATATCATTCTGGAACCAGATGGTAATCTGTCTAGAATAGTTCTTTGGATACTTTTGTCTGAGAAGCCACCATTCATCTTTGATAGAGTTACCTGAAACATGGTATAACATTCATGAGCAGATTGAAGATTACCAAAACCCTGAATACATGGGGAGTTTTTCTGAAGAAAATAAAATAATATAGTCACTCCCACTGGCTAAGCGGGAGAGTTGACCCTCTTATAAAATCTAAATTCACATTAGCTAACAGTTTAACATCCTCTGAAGTCTACTTTAGCGGAGTTAACAGGTTTGAGTGATCATCTTTCCCATTTTCTAGGTCCTCTCAGCAGAGGTGCTCATGAAGAGGGCAATGATGAGGTCCCAGTCATGCCCCCAAAGTGGATGATGAGTTAGCTGATTATAACTATGGGGCTGATTTGTATTAATACTAACTCAGAAGCAACGCCTTTGTACCTGTATATACTGTATTTGCATATTTCATGCTCACTACTGCATGTTCAGGATAGAAATGTGGAGAGACTTACTAAGGACTGCTGGAAGAAGTGGGACTTCCAGTTAGTTTGTGGTGGGAAACTCAGTTGCTCAGAACTGCCAAAGGTCCTGTGTTGGAATGATTAATATTCTTTATCTGCGATCAGACATGTGACCGCCTCAAGCAGTCAGCCAGTGGGACCAAGCGCCGCGTGTTCATCATTGAAACTATGGGCGGCTACTGCGGTTACCTGGCCAACATGGGGGGACTTGCGGCCGGAGCTGATGCAGCTTATATTTTTGAAGAACCATTTGATATCAGAGATTTACAGGTATGTAATGCAAATCCAACCTCTAGAACTCATTAAGTGCTGCTGTCTCATTATTTATAATTTGTTTTTGGTTTTATTTTTTTTTGAGGGAATGGAGATAATACTGTAAAATATACCAACTTTTGTGCATTTCAAATAATCCATCTGTTTGAATCCCAGTGAAATTTACTGATGCATTTACTTTAGTATTAAACTCTTTTGATGGGTGAGGAGCAATGAGCTAGGATTGTGTGAATATACAGGTCTCAGGGCATCTTTTATTCTTTTCACCCAGGCTTGTAAGTTTCTTTTTGATCTGTTTAATAAACTGTTTTGTCTATCAAGCAATTAATGTTTTTCCTACATAAGTAATAAGCTATTTGAAGATGGTATTTTCTTGTTTAATGGGATCTTTAAATATTTGATACTTTAAATAGTTAATGTAGATAACTATATAGTATCTCTTTGGCTTTTTAAAATATTTAAAACCAGTTGCAGACTTCTGGTGTCTATGGCTCTAAGGTTGGGAAGATTTGCAATAGTTGGAAAACTGTAACCTGCCAGAGGGAAGCAGCCACTTTCCATTATAAAATGCTAAATTTAATTAGGGAACGAATAAGAGACACCAACGGAGGTAGCTAGAACTGCTGGGACAGAAAAGTGTGCTTACCTCTGTATCTGTGTTGTAGGTTGTAGGGGAAGAAGACAGAAGCATGTTGCCAATTAAAAACAAAACAGAAGCCAAACCTAGCTCTTGCCAATCCCTGCGGCATGCTTCTTTTAAGTCTTAAGCGTTGCTGATGCCTTTGAGGGATCTGTTTGCTTCTAAATTGACAGTAGTATTGCAAAGGAGGAGGACTAAAACTTGTTGGAGTCCTCTAGCTTTTTTAGGTTAAGGGTTAATTCAGCTGCACCCAGCTTTTGATTGGGTTGAGCTTTCTGAACCCATCTCACCAGTGCAGCTCATGGTGCAGAGCCTGCATCATGTTGCCAGGTAGGAGGGAGGAAGATCCCAGGATACTGAGGGCACCCAAGATGCCACCCAAAGCAAGTAAGGGAGAAGTGGGTGTCTAGGAGAGCTAGCAGGGCATTATTTCACCCTTCATCAGCCTCACCCTTCACCAGTAGGTAGTCCTAAATTGGGAGTAAGGAAACCTTGAGTTCTTACCAGCATTTTCCAGTTCCATCTTTGCTCTTGTGCCAGGTGACTCAGAGTGGCATCTTGTGACTCAGGTTTGCATCACACAAGGTTGGTAATTAGTGAGCCCTGTCCAAGAGGACAGGAGTTATCAATAAACTAGAACTTGAGCTGTTGACTTTTAAAATGTTATGATTTTATGTTGTGTGTTTCTGAACCAAATGAATCAAGTAAAGAGATACTTAGTGTTTTTACTTTTTATCTATAACACGGAAACTTGAAACTATGAATTTCTTCACAATGTTGAATTAAATGTTTCTACTTAAAAGATAATGTCCTACCAGCACTTACCATATCTCTTGGCACATAGATAGATGTTTAATAAGTGTAGTTATTACTGAGATTTGATTATATGTAACTACTTCCATTTTTAAAAGATAAGTTATCAGAAAATTTCTTTATTTTTGTAATACTCCTGACAAACTGAAATAGGATAATTTGTACATAAAATTCTATAAATTTTTTCCCTGTCAGAAAATGTTCATTAGGCAGTTATATGAAATTCTATATAATGTAGGTTAGCAGATAATTATTTCCCTATGAGAGCTCAGAGATGGAAAATATTGTCATGAAAATGTACCCAGGAGTAAGAGATAAATAGGTAAGCATTAGGCAGGTGCACAAAATAAATACATTAATGTTGTAAGAGGAAAGTCTGTTTATTTTGGAAAGCATTTCTCATGGCTATAGTGAGTTCCATTGACTAAACCAATACACCCGACAACGTAGCTTCCCTGCTCCCGTCATACGTATTGCGTCATCTCGTTTCCTTATCGTTACCAGTGCGTTTATCGCTACCTGATACGTTCCTGTTTATTTGTCTGTTGTCCTCTCCCACAAGAATGTGAGAGCAGCTGCTTACTCTGTCTCTGCTTTCACTGCCATATTCCCAGCACTTACAATCACACAGTACCTGGCACACCAAACCAAAAACCAAACCCTTTTCCACTGAGTCGGTTTTAACTCATAGTGACCCTATAGGAGAGAGTAGAGTTTCCCCATAGGGTTTCCAAGGTGCGGCTGGTCGATTCGACTGCTGACCTCTTGGTCAGCAGCTGCATTCAGGTACTTAGTAAAAGTTGATAGTCTGACTGATCAACAGACTGCTCTTTTCTAGTCCAACGTGGAGCACCTGACACAGAAAATGAAGACCAGCATTCAGAGGGGTCTTGTGCTCAGGTAATGGGAAAATCTTTCTAATTTACTTTAATTTTAGGCCTAGATTGTTAGGATCTATTTTAGGATGTAAAATCTAAGAGTCATTCCTTTGCTTCTGATTCTTATTATGAAAACTGGGGAAAAAAGCATCGAAGTAGAGTAATTGTGGACTGTATTAAAAACTTGCATGTATTTAAATAATTGAAGGGTGATATTTAAAGTTTTTCACTTTGGCTTTCAAGTCTGTAATTTTTTAAAGATATCTCCAAATCATTAATTAAGCCCTGTAACCTTTAGAAAGAAAGAAGAAAGTATGCAGAGCCGCATAAGGGGCAGAGGAAGTCAGAGGGCCACCTGACTGTGTCAGAAAGCAGGTGGCCTTTCCACCAGAGCCGAACAAGCTGTGCTCTCCCAGGCCGTTAGCTGAACCACATGGGCAGGAAACGTCATCAAAAACCCTAAGCCATGTTCTCTGGTGAATAAATGACTGCTTCCCCTTCATTTTAGAAACGAGAACTGCAGTGAAAATTATACCACCGACTTCATTTGCCAGCTTTATTCAGAAGAAGGAAAAGGAGTATTTGATTGCAGAAAGAATGTGCTGGGCCACATGCAGCAGGTAGGGTGACTGCAGTCCTCTTGTTGTTAACTGCTGCCGAGCCAGCAGTAACTCATGGCGACCCCATGCACGATGGGATCAGACCATTGTGATCCGTAGGGTTTTCGTTGGCTGGTTTTTGGAAGTAGATCGCCTAGGGCTTTCTTCTTAGTCCATCTTAGTCTGGATGCTCACTGACACCTGTTCAGCATCACAGCAACTCAGAAGCCTCCACTGATAGATGGGTGGTTGCTGTGCATGAGGGGCGTTGACTGGGAAGCAAACACAGTTCTTCCACATGGAGGGTGAGAATTCTACCACTGAACCACCACTGCCCCCTACACCAGCATTAATTCTCATGGAACCCACCTGTGGTGCTACAAAGCAGAAAGTGAAGCAGTTTTTATATGATTTTTTTAGATTGATGTCTTAGCCATTGTGAAAAAAAATGTATTTATAAGTTATCCTGAAATGATTAAAAACAACATTTGAACTATGCTGTGGATCCTCTTAAAAGTCACAGTAAATATCACTAGGTTTAGGAATTCTTTCTGTTGTTTGTGACATTTGGATATATGAGGATTTTAAGGAACGCTATCAATGTTCATGTAAATAGTGGCATCAGTTAATTGGAAAAATTTATTCAAGTTAAATATTTCATTAAGTTAAATATTGAAGGTTAATATTAATTTAAATTTGAATATCAGACAAATGATTCTTATTTACAGTTTAAATCTGAATGATTTAAAAAGAATCTTAGAGATGATCATAGGGTACACCCTCGTTTTATGCTTTAAAAAAAAAAACCAAACTAAACCCACTGCCGTCAAGTCGATTCCGACTCATAGCGACCCTATACCGACCCTACAGGACAGAGTAGAACCACCCCACAGAGTTTCCAAGGCGCGCTTGGTGGATTTGAACTACTGACCTTTTGGTTAGCAGCCATAGCTCTTAACCACTATGCAACCAGGGTTTCCTTATGGTTTATAAGTGTGACTAAAATCACATAGCTAGGTAGAGGTGGACTTGGGGATAATGGGTCCCAGTTCTCCTCATTTGCCAGCCTATACTCTTTCCACTATTGCCTCTCATTCCTTCTGTTTTAGAGAACTTCTAACCATGAATCCCCCGAAATTAAATGATGAAATGGTAGAGATATGCACATTTTTCATCCATGTGAGTTCACAGTGTTATCAGATTCTTCAAGGAAATTGGGGACTGCCTCCCCAGAAGAGATGAAGCAATCTTGATATAAAATTCTAAAATAGTAAAGATTTTAGTTGACTTATCTGGTTGATTAAAGTCTTCTGTGTCTTGACAGGGATTAAAAAATACGATGATACTGGGCCTAACAAGCTGAGGTCAGGCCACAGGGTTTTGTTTTTTTAGGTCTCAACTACATACAAGGAGATAGAATTATGCCAAAAAAAAAAAAAGAACATATTTGCAAATTTGAATCTCTTAAAAATATGTGAATTTTGTTAATAGAATTTTTTTTTTAATTGTACTTAAGGTGAAGGTTTACAGAACAAATAGTTTCTCATTAAACAGTAGTACACATATTGTTTTATGACACTGGTTAACAACCCCACGACATGTCAGCCCTCTCCCTTCTCGACTTTTTTTTTTGGTGGAAATACACATAGCCAAAGATAACACCATTTCAAAAAGTTTTACATGCACTGTTCAGTGATATCAACTATACTCTTCCAATTGTGCTGCTATTCTCACTTTAGTTGAAGGTTTACAGAACAAAATAGTTTCTTATTAAACAGTTAGTACATATGTTGCCCTATGACAATGGTTAAGAACCCCACGACATGTCAACACTGTCCTTACTCAACCTTGGGTTCCCTATCACCAGCTTTCCTGTCCCCTTCTGCCTTCTAGTCCTTGTCCCTGGACTGCTGTGCCTCATTAGTCCCGTTTTGATTTATGGGGCTGTCCAATCCCCGGCTGAACCGTGAACCACTGAGCTAAAAGGGTGTCTGGGGGCCATACTCTCAGGGTTTCTCCAGTCTCTTTTAAGCCAGTAAATCTGGTCTTTTTTTGTGTGTTAGAATTTTGTTCTACATCCTTTAAGTAATAGAAATTTTAAAACTAATATGCTTGCAATGTTTTTTTTTTTTTTTTCTAATAAATGGTCTGGTAAGCATTGCTGTGTAACTAATATTTTAATATTTAACTTTTAACCATCAACAGGGTGGAGCACCTTCCCCATTTGATAGGAACTTTGGAACAAAGATGTCTGCCAAAGCTATGCAGTGGATTACTGTGAAACTGAAGGACTCTCAACGAACAGGTATGGAGTCATAGGGGAGGGTAGACTCAGCCATTTGAGACTGAAGCTGGCACCCTTTAGAAATAGCTGTATTTTATGAAATAGGATATTTGTTCCTCTTTATTCTTTATTCAGCATTGAACTGCATATAGTAAAATTGTGTTAATCTTGATAGTCTCTGAGTGTTGATATTTATGACTTTCATGGTAATTAATATATAAATGTAATTAGTAAGTCCTCCCCGCCACAACAAAAACTACCAAAAACCGTCGCCGTCAAGTTGATTCTGACTCATTGCAACTCCATGTGTCACAAAGTAGAGCTCTTCCATGGGGCTGTCTTGGCTGTAATCTTTACTGGAGCAGATTGCCAGGCCTTTCTCCATGGTGCCACTGGGTGGGTAACAACCTTTAGGTTCTTAGAAGAGCACAAAGTGTTTGCACCACCCGAGGACCTTAATTCATAAGATAAAATGCTTAATTCTTGCTTATTAGTGATGGCAGGCATTCGAATAATTTAGTAACATTTTTATTCTTTTAATAGGTAGGAAGTTGCTGTGCATATATTGCAGTTTGTTCGTAAGACAGTAATATGTGATTTTTTGTTTGTTTTATGTTTTGGCTACTTGGATGCTTTCTTGGAACTGGCTTTAACACACTTAGACGTATCCATCAATTTATTCAGTACTACTCTTCTTTTATAGAACAGCAACATAGGATTGGGCGGTATCTTATCTATTTTCCCCTCAGAACCTAAGTGTGTCCTTCTCCTGTGGTATTTTACTCCGTATCCACCAGAAGTTAGCAGTAACCCCTGAGTATTGTGAGAATCATCCCCTGATTTTCCTTTGGGGTTTTACTATCCCTGACTAAATCTTCAAAGAGCATATTATTTAGTTGAGTTTGTTTCTGTGCTTTATGTGAGTGGAGGCCTGCGGTAAGTACTTTGGCTGTGACTTGCTTTGTGCGTAGGTTAGGTTTTTGAGATGCATCCGTGTGATGCGTATGGTTGTGGTTCATCATGTACTGTCCTGTTGCTCAGGTGTGCCACCTGTAGCCATTCCTGTGGATACTGACCCTGGAATGCTTCCCGGTTTCATGTTACCGCAAACAGTGGTGCTGTGCACATGTCCCCTGGGCACGTGTGTCCACGTGCTATGTGTCCCATCCACCTACACTGTGACCATGCGTGGGTTCAGCTTTATTAGTTTACCAAACTGGTTTTACCAGTTACATGCAGACCTTCAGGGTATGAGCTCTCCTGTTACTCCACACCCGGCTAACACGTGATAAAGGCTGACTTTAATCATTGCCTATTTGGTGGGTACAGAGTAGTCTCGTCATGGCTTTAAAATGCTAACCTTCATAGTTAATGCGGGAAATGCAACATTTTACATCCATCTTTCATGTTCTTGTTTCCTCTGGGAAACTGTTCAAGTATTTGACCTCTTTTTCTGTTAGTTATGTTTATCTTACTATTTTACAGGCAATTTTTATACTTTTTATTACTTTGCAGCAATTTCTTATTTTTTATATAAATATGTACACATACATATTTTTTACTCTTCCACTTTGTGGTATATCTTTTCATTTTATGTGAGGTGTCTCTTTTTTAATTTTTTTTTTTTTTTTATTGTATTTTAGGTGAAGGTTTACAGAACAGAAAGTTTCTCATTAAACAGTCAGTACACATATTGTTTTATGACATTGCTTAACAACCCCACGACATGTCAACGCTCCCTTCTTGGCCTTGGAGGACTTTTTTTTTTTGGAGATAATATACATAGCCAAAGATACACCATTTCAAAAATTTTTACATTTACAATTCAGTGACATTGATTACATTCTTCCAGTTGTGCTGCTATTCTCACTTTAGGTGAAGGTTTACAGAACAAAATAGTTTCTCATTACAGTTAGTACACATATTGCCCTATGACAATGGTTAAGAACCCCATGACATGTCAACACTGTCCTTACTGAACCTTGGGTTCCCTATCACCAGCTTTCCTGTCGCCTTCTGCCTTCTAGACCTTGTCCCTGGACTGCTGTGCCTCATTAGTCCCATTTTGTTTTATCGGGCTTTCCAATCCCCGGCTGAAAGGTGAACCTTGGGAGTGATTTCACCACAGAGCTAAAAGGGTGTCTGGGGGCCGTACTCTTGGGGTTTCTCCAGTCTCTGTCAGGCCACTAAATCTGGTCTTTTTTTGTGTGTGAGAATTTTGTTCTGTGTCTTTCTCTAGCTCTGTCCAGAACCCTCTGTTGTGATCCCAGTCAGAAAGTCAGTGGTGGTAGCTGGGCACCGTCTAGCTGTACTGGACTCAGTCTGGTGGAGGCCTTGGTACCTGTGGTTCATTAGTCCTTTGGACTAATCTTTTCCTTGTATCCTGTTCTCTTCATTCTCCCTTGCTCCCGAAGGGTTGAGATAGTGGAGTATCTTAGATGGATGCTCACAGGCTTTTAAGACCCCAGATGCTACTCACCAAGGTAGACTGTAGAACATTGTCTTTATAAACTCTTATGCCAGTTGAGCTAGATGTTCCCTGAGACCATGGTCCCCACAGCCCTCCGCCCAGCAATTCAGTCCCTCAGGGAGTTTGGATGTGTGTATGGAGCTTCCAAGACCTTTCCTTGTACAAGCTGTGCTGGCTTCCCCAGTATTCTGTACTGTCATACCCTTCACCAAAGTTACCACTTATCTATTGTCTATTTAGTATCCGCCCCCCCACTCCTCCCATTCCTCGTAACCAACAAAGATTGTTACTTTTTGTGTGTAAACTTTTTCATGAGTTTTTACAGTAGAGGTCTCATACAATATTTGTACTTTCATGACTGACTTATTTCACTCAGCATAATGTCCTCCAGTTTCATCCATGTTATGAGATGCTTCACAGATTCATCATTGTTCTTTATCCTTGCACTTCGTTATGTGTATGTACCATAGTTTATCCATGCGTCTGTTGATGGGCATCTAGGTTGTTTCCATCTTTTTGCTATTGTGAACAATGCTGCCATGAACATGGTGTGCATATGTCTATTAGTGTGACGGCTCTTATTTCTCTAGGATATATTCCTAGGAGTGGGATTGCTGGATGGTATGGTATTTCTATTTCTAGTTTTCTAAGGAAGTGCCATATCATTTTCCAAAACGATTGTATCACTATGCATTCCCACCAGCAGTGCATAAGAGTTCCAATCTCCCCACAGCCTTTCCAACATTTGTTATTTCCAGTGTTTTTGATTCATGCCAGTAATGCCAGGGTGAGATGGTATCTCACTGTGGTTTTAATTTGCATTTCTCTAATGGCTAGTGATTGCGAGCATTT